TGTGAACATCACGCTACTGTCTCATAAGTGATATGGGTGCCACTGTGGCGAGATGTTATCTGCCTCGCCTGATATGCAGCAGGTCATGGGTTCGATCCCGACCCCGATGCCTGTTGTATATTTGGATTTTGCATGTTCTCTCGTGGTGGCATGGATTTTTCTCCAGGTCCTCGGGTTTTTCCCTCCACATTTAGAAACACGATAAGCCACTTCGTTGAACTATCCATTTGTGGCCAGTTCGCTTCTTAAAAAGAGTTACATAGCTCAGTGGGCCTTATCTGGTAAAATTAAAAATAGTTGAAAATGCCAGTATTTCAGTCTTGAGAACACAATTGGATGGTCTAATGTGTCAAAAGGCTTTTGATGGGTCAATGAAGACGGATAAGAATATTTGATTCTCATCTTAAATGATGTTGGTATCATAAAAGTGCTCAAAGCAACTTATATGGTGCTAGGCACTGGCCTGAAGCCAGAATGCTTTGAATTTATGATAAATCCTGCCTCTAAACAATAACAATTATAAAACAGTTGCTTCTCGACTAAATTAACCAGGATATATGCACAGATCTGATATTCGTCTGCACTGTAGTTATGCACCGATTACTACTCCACCCGTTTAATAGGGGTGCTAATTTTAAAACACTAGGCACCAAAATATATATGATTGACAGCTGAAAAAGATGCGTGTTTTCAGGACCACAATAGTACATCAGGACCAATTTGAAGAATTTGGGGCAGAGAATGTTGTTGTTGTTGCTTAATCATAATGCTCTAGGGAGGTCAGGGTATTCTCTCCTGCCTACAAATGAAAGGGTTAAGGGGCAGCCCTGCAACCGCTTGCTCATGCAATTGTTAGTAGAAGGGCATCCTCTAAAGGGAGCTATAGAGAGCCCCTTTAGAGGTAACCAGTGAGCTACTGGCCAGTTACCCTGGGCACCAGGGTGTCGAGATATCAACTACCTCGCCTGGTATGCAGTAGGTCGTGGATTCGATCCCGACCCTGACGCCGAAGGTAAATTTGGAGTTGTTCTCTGCGGAACATTTGGCCTACTCTTTAACGCTGGTCAGACATCTTGCAAGAGGTGGATGTAACCCATACTTTACCCCACCCGCACATGCACCCTGTTGATGGATACCTGTGGTGGTACTCATTTACAGGGCTGAGTGGCCAGAGGTGGGGGTGGGGGGTATTTAAGATGCTTTGCCCCATTGTTTCAACGACTGTGCCTGGAGTTTAAAGGAGATTAAAGTCCAGTGGGCTAACCAATTAAACCACAGCAGCATTCCAGACTGAAAGATACGAAATTAAAGTGACCACGAGATGTGAAGCAAAGAGCTCGGATGTAGCAAAGTAAATGGTATGAGAGGCCCCCGTTGCCAATGGCATTGCCTGCTTAACCAAAGTGGGATTTTTATGACCTGTAAAATGTTTTCCTCTCCCTGCTGACTTTGTTGTTGATCAGTTTAACACGTAGGCTTTCGCGCGACCAATATCATCCATAGTACAGTTTTTTTGTGTGTGTTAGATCGCGTAAATAGTTGAATACAGGTTTTTTTGGGTTAGTATTTATTTGTTGTTGTTTCCTAAAATACCTATCATGTGAAGTGTTATTTGTGATAGCCAACCGCAAACGTTGCTTGGGATAAGTGTTGATTCACCAATTAACATTAATAAAGGTAATTTAATTTGTCTGAAAACAAATTCTTAAGTTTTGGGATGATCGAATTGATTTTTGTCCACGCTGTATGGCAACATGTTCAGATGATGAATGCCAATGTTGAGGTCAGCTAGCCACGAGAAGGCTTCAAGATACAGTTTGTTCAGACTTGCCAGGACTCAATTGATGGAGCGCAGACTACCGTGGTGAATTCATTTTCCTAGGTCAGCCCCAGGCCTACTTTATATGCTAATTTCACCCAAGTCTGCTGTGACCTTAGGGTTATGTCTATTTTTTTACAAGAGGTGTATGGATGTTAATTGTTTAGAAGCAAGGTTTTTTTTATTGGCCTTGCAGATTTTGTATTTGTGGATTCCAAAATGTTTCACCCAATTTATTTGAGCTATGCATGCAGTTTGCTAACAAAGCAGTGGCGGGTGGCGTGTCAGACTCCACGTGGAGTCACATTGCACTTAGCCTGGCACAGGTGTCGCGGTGACATCGCTGCTGTTATTGTTTGTTGCTGTATAGGCAATTGCTAAAGGCATCTCCTCAACATGATTCTTTGTATAAGTATGTTTGTCAGTTTGTGGCCTTTAAAAGGGCTTTCAACTATTTACAACCTTGTTTTAACCAGTTAATTTGGATTGCTATTATACACAGTGCTGTTTGCAGTTACGAGTAAACATTGTTTATCAACAGTGCTTATCAAAGGAGGGGTCAATGGGTGAACCTTTTAGACATATCGTCACAGTATTTACACAAAGATCACCCGTATAGCCTTAAACGACTGTAGGAGCAAGTTCTGTCTGCGAGCACCAATGAAGGCCGGCACGACACACGAGGGGGTGGGTGGCCAGCACCACGCCCTACCGCCTTTGTCTCCCTAGTGGCGATATTTACGCATTGCACCAGGTACTCATTTGAGGCTGAGTTGACCAAGGAGAGGCCCAGGACCAGTTCAGTTCAGATCGTCACTGGTGTCGCTGGGTTCATAGCGCAACGCACACACAGGTAAAATGGTAAATGTTCAACCATGCAATTACGTGTTCAATTGATCAATGTATACTTGTCCGCACATCCGATTAGCACGGTTGACTATGTATGATGCGAAAGAAGTTCAACGTACATACGTTATAACACAGAAAGTAACATTTATCCAGATACCCAGCTAGTATGCAAGGGAGATGCGTGGTGCGTCACCACATCGCAAAAACAACATCAAAGTCATCCGTACAGAAGAGCAGGCAACAAGGAAACATGCCGATGCTGGCAGAAGGACCTCCAATGGATAGCCCCTCCAGAGGGTATTTGGCCTACTCTTCTACAATGGAAAAGTTAAGAGTACTCACATTTTAACCTACCACATGCAACCTGCCAATTGACTAACTGGCGCACCCATATATACTGCTGGGTGGACAGGCACACCTCTGGATTGCAAGTACATTGTTCTAATCATTACACAACAGCAACACAACAAGAACCGCCGCACACCACTAAGTGACGGTGACATCGCCATGGCACTTGTGCCATACTAGGTGCACTTTCTGCACACCACAGGAGCTTCCCATATACACACAACCATAACATGGAGTTGTGAGTTCTATGAAGCCTCTTCCAGACAGGATTTGCCTGCAGCTTCAAATTAAAATCTCACTTTGTTCGGGCAGAGTTAGGACGACACAGCTTGGGACATAATTACTCCAGAAAACCCACAGCCTAATTTAGGGATAAACTACATTCTAAAACGGGCACATGTTTGAATGAATCATGTACTTTGTCTCTGTGCGGTTTCTAACAATTCACTTTGTAGAAAAAAACTTTTACGCAGTATTGTACGGCAATTCAAACCACGCTGCAAGTTTCTTAAATACCCAACCTTTGCCGATCCATCATTATAAATGGGTACATAACAGTTAGACGATTGGCAGGTCGAGTGTGCTGGGCTAACGTGTGGGTAAGCCCAAAACTAGTCCAAGACGTTTGGCCAGTGTGGAAGAGGAGGCCAAAAGACCCTACAGAGGGGTCCTCGAGCGCTCCCTCTAGTGAAGGCCCTTCCACCCGTAAGCATTTGCAGGGCCGCACCTTTACCCTTCATACAGCGTCATTAAAAGCTCAAGGATTGTATATAGCGTGTAATACAAAATAATTCATTATCATTTTCAGCCCCCTTGTCAATTCTTTATCAAGCAAGCTGTCTGTTTGGTCCGCTGCTGCATGAAGGCATCCCCTTGCCGTGCCGGGCTATCAATGCCACACACGGCACAAATATATATCTTAGTTCCCCATTGTGTTTACGTAGACTGTCCTTTAGTTTTATACGTGTTTTAACGTTTAAATGTTATGCTAAGATAGCGCTTGACATTTCACAGGTTAGTGCCGGACATATTTATTGCAATGAACAAAACACATTTCTCAGTGAGTGTCGTGGCAAGGCTCGTGTGGTAATGTCAAAGCAATGTCTTTTAGATGTTAATTAAAGTGATGCACATTTTAAGGAGCACGGTTTTCATGGCTCAAGGCTCAGTCAAAAGTCTGTCAAAGCTAACGCACCATACAGTCTAACACGTAGTCGGAGGCTTTCGGTGGCGGGTTTAACGACACATTTATATTTACGCGATCTAACACCAAAAAACCTCGATTAAACACCATGCAATACAAACGCAATGAGAGAGACATTAAGATAATACATGAACATAACAATTATAACGCATTAATAATTCGTGATTTTCGATCACTTTAAAATGTACCATTGGGAACTGGTTCAGAATCATTTCAGCAGATGTCGCTTGTCAATTTATATCAGCTGTTGCCAGGAATCCAACTCTGATCCCTGGGTTTACCACGCAGTACGCTACTCACTGTGCCACCGTTAACACACGCATAGTACTTTCGTGCATAAAGTATCATGTGTTATGAATAACACCAACATCGCGTGGCAGAGTATTAATTATTTAAAAGCAAGTGTCAAATGTATTACACAGGTCTTTTTTTTACGGACGGTGTTAACTGAATGCCATTTTAAAGGTGAAGAAATATCAGAGCTTAGGAAGACACCAGGGTTGAAGAGTGTGTTTAAACATGCGGTTGAAGACAGGTTTGCATTGCACTGAAATCCATAATGTGTGGTCAGTGCTGGTGGCAACCCCCTTTCATATCCTCTGTGTGTACCTGCTATCGTTTTGTTGATAAAAAAATACTTTTGGAAGAAAAAAAGGTGAAGTTAACATAACTTTATATCGATACACGTACGTCCAACTTCTTTCGCACCGTACGTGCTAATCGGAGGTTGGTGGGTATAATGTGTCACCGAAGGTGTGTGTGTGTGCGTGCGCGTCTCACCTCGAGGTCCGCGCCGCTCTCCGATGGGAACTCCTGTTCGGGTGGAGGGGACGAGGGCTCTGCGTAGGAGCGCCTGTTACGGACGATGCTGACGGAGCTGCGCGGGACAGCCACTGCCTCTCTGCGGGTTTCGTTTTTTTTCATGTTCGGAGGGGAGAGCGGGAGACACACGCACGCACGGAGACAAACAAAGACAAAAATCCACCCCCCCCCACCCCGGTATAGCCTTTACAGACTGTAGGGGGCAAATGGTGTTCGCGATCACTGCGCAGAGGCACAGGCACGCATCATGCATGCACACGCACGCCTTGCCTGGGCGTGCCAAATGACCAGCGGGAGTCACCTCCCCCGTAGGTGGAAGTTGGGTTGTTGGTGTTAACCGTAGTAACCATGCTTCCATAGTAAGCTCTGACGGTGTTTCCGAAGAAGTGTCAATTGTTGGAAACTGGTGACTTTCGAGTTCAATCGGTGGCCTTTATTTGATAGATAGAGGCTGATGACGCCTGTGATGGTGATGATGAAGATGTTGATATTGAATGGCTTTAATTACGAAGCGTGTGTCTCTTGCTCGGCAGACCTGGGGTAACACACACTAAAACATGGCATTGTGACATTGGCGAACAAATACATTAATCTAAAAACAGTACAGTATATAAAATTCAGTATTGCATATATTGTGACTGCCATTGTTGCTAATTTTTATCAAGAATAAACCAACAAAATCCAGTTCACTAAACAAATCAGATATTAGTCATTATGATGCTACATATTGACGCTATCGACATCATATTGACTGACGAGAACACCAATGAGGCTTGAGCAGCATATGTCTTATGTATGCACGTTGAACTTCTTTCACACCGTACGTAGCCAACCGTGCTCATCGGAGGCAAGGGCTTGTGTGGTGGTGAGATGCATGCACGTTAAACTTATTTTGCACCGTACGCAGCCAACCGTGCTAATCGGAGGTGAGGGCTAGTGTGGTGGTGGTGCGGTGTATGTATGTTGAACTGAGATGGGGGAGGCTGCCGTTTAATTGTAGAGCGAGGTCAATTTGAAAGGTGTGCAACCCTGCAGAGGTGCCCTAAGGCATGCGCGCACTAAATCACTTTGGCTATTGGCTGTCTGCTCGGTGGGCCACGTGGTAAAAAAGGGCCCTTGTAAAGTGGTGGGGAAAAAAAATCGGCCGTTCAAGTGCCGCACTGTTCAGCTTTTTTGAAAGTGGTGTTCTGCAAATACAATAGTTATGGACTGACGCATTGCAGTAGTAGTGGTACATTCCCACGTTTTGTGCAACGCTAAATTCCACAACAGAAGTTAGTTTTATGAGTCAGCATCGTTCAAGCATACCCTATTAAAAATGATATATAATCCTTGACCCGGCAAGCCTGCATAGTCAGTTGTTTTTTGAAGATAACTTTGACTATCATGATTGAAAATACACCTGCAAGTAGTGGACACTGTTCTTTAAAATCACGGTACGTACTTGAAGGATTTGTATTTGTAATAAATGTCAGTTTTGTTACAATGGCTGAGGTTAACTCTGCAGATGACAAGATCACCAGGGCCATCATTGCCACATTATCATCTTCATTATTGTCAATAACTCCATGAGTATAACTTGCTCATTTATTAAAATGTATTGCTCTGTCGCTGATTCCAATTTAGGCACATACGAAGCATTTTTCAGTTCACTTGTATCTATTTAACTGGCCGGTGCCCTTACTGCAGACCATTTAAGTAGAGTATTTGGACTTAGTTTGCCAATGTAGATAACATATTGTTTTTTCTTTATAAATGTTGTGAATTTTACTCTCCAACACAATCGGTGTGCTGTACTAGTAACAAATCGCCATGTTTTGTTCACGTGACAAACCTTACTAATTGGCTGTGTCGGGTGGTGGCGGCGGGTTTAACGACACAATTATATTCATGCTATCTAACAAAAAAAAATCTCTATTACTGATTATATTGGTGGCGAAAGCCTACGTGTTAAACTGATCTCTATTTTCTTTGGACTGCACAGGTTTTGCTTGAGTTTGTATATACTTTCCCACTGCACGAGAGCCAAACGGGTGACAAGCGCAAGCTGTGCATAAAACACAAGCGCACCGTGAACACAAGAGCGTGTACGGCCTGTTCGTCAACTGCTGGATGAGGGCCTCTCCAGGCTGCGCAGATCGTGAGGGTTATTTCACCATACTTCACTACGCTGACAGAGTGCGGGTTGGTGAATGTGGGGTGTGAGTACAGTGCAACAACGGATTTTGCCACAATGCCCTCTGCTGCCCACAATCCTTAAAAACTCCAGGATTATCCCTGGTGGTCACCAACCAGGGCTCAACTCTGTTTAGCCTCCCAGGCCTGACAGGATGGGGGTGCATTCCGGTTGTCTTGCTCGTACAAAACACAAAAAAACACCTCCAATCCAAAAGTATACTGTGCTCTAAATGTATTAGTCTCGGGTTCTCAGCCAAATAAGCTTGTTTAACTAACATAGACCATACACCCCACCGCTTAACCGTCCATTGGCTGTCCCATCTGTTGCTCTGCTACCTTTGAAAATTGTGCATTAAGATGATGCCCATAAAAGGTAAAGGTGCAGCTTTAACCATTGCTTGCTCATGCCACTGAAGGTGGCAAGGGCCTCCGCTAGAGGGAGCTCGAGCAAGAACACTATATTGAAGACTAAACTATACAATTTAAAACTATGTTACTAGGTGAGCGACAACTGAGCTATATAGCTATTTTTCAGAAGCTACCTGGCCACAAATAATGGCTCAACGAAGTGGCTTATCACATGGAAATGTAAAGCAGTCAAATACTCCACGTGACCACGGGGAGAAAGATGTGCAAACTCCAAACAAACAGGCGTTGGGGGTCAGGATCGAACCCATGACCGCCTGTATACCAGGTGAGGTAGTTAACATCTCGTCACCATGGTGCCCTAAACAGGGCCATTGCCATAAACGCTAGCTTTTTCTTGATGTTAAGACTGTGTTATTGACAAATGTGTTGTGTTTGTGTATTAATTATGCTACTAAACCACTGGCAATGTAGCGTCACCAAACAATTAGTTTGCTTGATAGAGGAATCCCTTGACAATGCAACAGGGCGGAACTCCATAAAGTCTGTCAAGAATGAATTTCCATGCAGAGTTATGTTTTTTTCTGAGAACAATGTGTTGGCCTACGCATCTCTAAACACATCCATCAAATTCATCCCTAAATTGGCAGTGACTGATAACTGTCAAAGCAATGTTTCCACTTGAGGCCAAAATCGTTTCACCGGACGAAATTTGATTCCAGAGTTTTGGGAGCAAAAAAAGAGACTGGCTCTTGTTGTTGTCACATTCCAAAGGGCACTTAAATCAAGCCTCGTGGCTGGAAGCTTCTTGTACTCGCAATTCATCATTGTCTGCTGCACTGACAGGTTCAGGTAGTCAAAAGCAGCCGGGAAGGCGTTAAATCAAAAGTGAATGTTAGTGACTGCCTCGCTCCCTCTAGTGGCATACAGCAATAACTCACAGATATCGAATAACTCTGAGGCCGTACAATGAAACAAAATAGGTGAGGCTTCTTGGGCAATGGCCCTTATTTATAGCACACCTGATGTGCTGCGAAGAAGAAGAAGAAGAGGAAGAAGGGAGGAGGAGGAAGGGGAGGAGCGCCATTTCCTGAATCGTCACCGGTCCTATATTTGTTTCCTTTTAGGGCCGCGGTATTATTGACGAATGTGTTGAGTTTTTGTTTATCACATGCTTGTTCGCCACTGCCAATGCATGATGAGTTTAGTTCATCAGTGAGCAGGCGTTGATTGGCCTGCCTATTTACTGGGCATGCGCGTAGAGGCATCACATCAGTGATTAAAACAGATATTGTCTTCATACATGCATCAAATCATGAATATAGTGTAAGGAAATCACATGCAAGTGATGTGCTGTTGATACATATCTGTGGATAACGGGGCAAACAATACTACAAATGAGGCACATGTACAAAAGAAACAACACAAATGAGACAGTTATCATAAAAGAAAACACTTTTTTTTCCTTAAATCGTCCACTTAAATTGTGATAATTCATCCAATTGCTGCCAAAGAGGGGGGGGGGGGGAGAGTAGAATAATTATATTTAAAATGCATTTAGCTACCCAGCCTGCTTACTCGGGAGCAGTCAAAATGCTTTGAGAATGAAGGTGTCTGGGTGGCTCAGGGAGCTAATACCATGTCACGTTGCTGAGATCCTAGGTTTGAATCCAGGCTACAGCCACCTGTGCTAACTTAACAAAAGGTTCTCAAGTGGTGTGTGTTGATGGTGTTAGCCTGGCTACCAATATTCATACAAAAAAAACAATTTTGGTTATTCGAATGCAATCGCCACATTCCGGACCTAACACCTAAACACTTTCAGTTTTTAAAATAGGTTTTCCCCATTTTTTCTGGCAACAAAACAGGTGTTAAGATGTTAAAACATCAAAATGAAACCTTTTACAAAGAATCATGTCTGCATTAACCACAATACTTGTGGTCAGAATGCAAACAAAAAACACTCTTATTATATATGCATTAAATCTTAACTTAAAGCTTTCGTGACTGCAGGAATTCATGTTCTTGGGTCTTTCAGTAAAGTCACGTAGATAGGTTCAACGAAAATAACAAAATACTACGACGTTTCGATCGCAACACAAGCGGTCGTCTTCAGGAAAAGGGGGGTTAGCTTCCAAGGCAAACTCGTTATAAGGGGTTTGAAATTGGCGTAGCCCAAATGTCAGCAGCCAATGATAATGTGAGTGGTGGGCAGCCCAACTCAACAGTGGTTGGTTTTTCACCAATCAAAGGGCTGCCAGGTGAAAATGAGCATGTTAATGAGAGATTAGAATGTTAATGAGAGATTCGCATGTTAATGAGAGATTCCCATGTTAATGAGAGATTCGCATGTTAATGAGAGATTCGCATGTTAATGAGAGATTCACATGTTAATGAGAGATTCACATGTTAATGAGAGATTAGCATGTTAATGAGAGATTTGCATGTTAATGAGAGATTAGCATGTTAATGAGAGATTAGCATGTTAATGAGAGATTCGCATGTTAATGAGAGATTCGCATGTTAAAGAGAGAT